CCGTCGTTATAACGGATTTTTTGCAAGTTTAGTTAAGAGTCCGGTATAAAACTCACTGTTCGATGTAACGGACCGTCAATATAACGGACAAAAGTGCAGTCCGTTATATCGACTTTCACTGTGTATTGTTATACTGTTAATCTAACCGTCGCATCAACTAGGTCTCGACTTGGCAATACCTGTATACAGAGACGCGAAATATTAAAAATATTGACTAATGGCCTTAAGACAGTTCCCAATATCAACTTGGACGACATCTCAGACAAATTCCATGGCATTGCTGCTGACTTGGCAGTCATGTTGTGAATAAAAGTCCCTCGCGATAGTAACAAAGTCAGCTAAATAGATCATTTGACGACTTGGTTTGCTATGAAAAGTGGAGAAAACAAATATATGTCTGCAAAGTTGAAAGGCGATCTTATGTCGCCTGTATGTTTGTTAACGAAACTCTAATAGCCCAACATCAAGAACAAACTCCCTCCTCCATAATAATAATACCCCGGGCCATTCGAGAATAGCGACTACAGAGGAAACAGAAAAACCTCTATAAAAAAGTGGTTACAAAAAACGCAATGGTTATGACGGCGGTAACAACAGACCTTCTCGCCGCAGTAATGGATGCGATGGTCGTGGCGGATAGATATGACAATGGTCACGGCCGCGGATAGAGCTAATTAACAGCCCATAATCTCAATAAACGCAGAAGCCACGGCCAGCGGATAGAGCTAAAAGTCAGCAATTTGTGGATGTGGTCTCAACAAACGCCGAACCTTCATATTCACCCACAAGCTGCCGGTCGGTGAACCAAATCATGCGCCATTATGGCTCATATCTCGGCAAACAATCGTCAAACGCTTCAAAAAAAAACGTAAACGATTGATTCTATTTTATGATGTTGTCCGTGATTGACTACGTCTGTACAATCACGCTAGCTGATCGATATCAGCTGTATGCCGCTATATATCAGTTACTCGCGGCTAAAAAAAGAACGATCGATCTAGCAATCTCTACTCGCAACGACCACATCTACTCGCGATCACGACCACATCTACTCACGACCGTGTCTCTCTCCGTATTCTCGAAGACATCCGGCACGAAACCATCGAGCAATGGCTACATATACAGGGAATAACGACACTCCCATTCATGCACATTATCAAGAAGCAGAAATATGGGTCGGTGTTGTATTTGATAATTCTTTCTGTTAAAAGACTTTTGTAACTGTTACTCGCTCTTTTTGGTTTTAATGGTGGCTTTTAGCATTTTTATTGTTTGCTCATCTCGAAAGAAATGTTGTAATTATATGACTCCTATCAATAAAAATGTTGTGTTTATGTTCAATAAAAGCAAATTTATGCTTTCTCATAACTTTTTATTAATTCAATGTTAATCATATAAGTATAGTATTCAAATGCTTATGAAGGATAAAAGTTATTAATACTAACTAGAAGTTTATATGTTGATGTATCATTTATTTATGATAGAGCTAGTAATAATTGTATTCAATTAGAGTATTATAGTAAGTAATTTGATATTATCACTATTTTCAAAGTAAGTTCAATTTGTTATTGATGCTTTGATTGTTAACAGTAGATACTCTATAGAAAGTATGGATTTCTCATTAGTTTGCTCTACTTTGCTTTTGGATGTTGTTTAAAAAGCTGCTTTGGTTAATGAGGAGAATTAACGTGTGATGATTTTTAAAGCAACAATCATGTAATTATACATGCATAATTTTCAATATTTTGGTCACTTTATGCTGAATATGGAAATATAAACACTAAAGGGGGAGTTTTCATATTGTTCCATAGTAATAGTGGTGGGGGTGACAGTACTCATTGAGAGTCACTCCAGTCTTAATTTCATGAACAGAGTTGGGACATTAAAAATGTTACACTTGACATCATCATTGGCTTTGCATTCACACACATAAACTCTCTCAACTACAAAATGGGCTATGGTCGATAATACAACGCAATACTTTATTTAATTCTCTGTAATAGTAAAGCAATTTTGCTCTTTTCATTCACGTGGTAAGTGTCTATGGTTTACTTGCGGTTAATGATGAGGGACTGTAGCAATGTAAATAAGCATAACGTCTACCATTTAGATGAATACAATTCTATTGTTTAAAACTATTTATCGTATTCAGCGATGCGATGAATTACTTTTAAGCCTGATAGTTCCTTTAATCTTTCTAAGCCTGGAGACGTTAGATGGCCTCCTTGTTGATACTAACTGATCTAATATTCAAAATCTGGTCGGAGGGAGGTTAAACTGTAGTCTTAATAACCTTATCCAATTGAATAGAATAATGCTGTAATGTAACTGTCAAATTACGGTAGAAATAGTGCACGAGGCTGTCTCCACATGGAATGTCTCCTTCGTTTTCTGCGCTCTCTCCATATCCTCTATAATCGTATGCACAGTTGAAATAAAGGCCTTATATATCTATGGTTTCTTGGTGCATCTTGATGTATATTCGCGTAAATGCAAAATGGAACTATCCCACTTGTAAGCCGTTTTGTCAAATGCATCGCAAATATCTTGTCGAATACATTTGCGCATGAATGAATAAGCATTCGACAGTGAAAATTGTAATACTGACGGCTTTATTTCAGTTTGTTATAATCTGTCGTCGTCACTAGATATCACAAAAGTCGGAAAAGAAAAAGCTTGATTATTGTACCGATTCGTGTAGCCTAGCTAACGCAAATTGTACCTTTATATAGTTATCACTTGTATACGGAGTCTTCATCTTCATTCTGTAACGTTATTTCCATACATGCTCTATATTGCGATAGGATATTTGTTAGAATTGACAGTCTTCTTGTTGATGATAAGGCAACGCTTAAGTATTATATCGCTATCGATACATATAAAGTAAATAATCCATCGACTATTGCACTCTTAACCTTCCTTATTATTATGATTCACGGAATGAGATATCATGTGCCTCAAGAATATCAAAGCGTCTATTATAGTTTTCATAGATCCATCAGTATGTACTCATCTTGATGCTCATAAAATGGTAAAAGTGACGCTTAGCCAATAAACATACCTCATCATTACCGTAGACACTTACCACGCGAATGAAAAGAGCAAAATTGCTTTACTATTACAGAGAATTAAAGACCACAGTTATCCCACTTTGTAGTTGAGAGAGTTTATGTGTGTGAATGCAAAGCCAAAATTTTCCCGACGGCTTTATGACGACTATCGCGAGGAACTTTTGTTCACAACGAAGTGCTCGCTAAAGCCCAGGACTTTATGACGACAAGTGTACATTTTTAATGTCCCAACTCTGGTCATGAAATTAAGACTGGAGTGACTGGAATTACTTTAGATTATATCCTTATATGTAACGAACCAATCAAAGTTTTCGAGAAATTTGGGTCGCGCAGCCTTTTAGCAGTACTAACTTCTTTTTCGTTTAGACATTCACTTTTTCGATACATGAACGATCAAACCACTGTTGCAAACCTTTGTTGATGCTGGCAAGGCAAGATCAGAGCAAGCAACGAAGTATTTACTCAGAATTGGTTGAACACACTGGGCGACGTCGAGAATTTTACTGTTACAGAGTTGGAAAGTCTGAATATACCTGCAGGTCTGGTCAAAGATTTAGAGGCAAAAAATCTTCTCAAACCAGGTAACAACTTTGTGACTCGGGCGTTGGGGGCATAGAGTATCGGAATAAAGCGTCTTAATCGCCACGATGTCTGAAATATGTTAACAAAAGGGCAATAAGTTGACTAATTTCTGGCGTACCAGTATTTTTCTCGCAAGTCTTTCCATTGGCCTACATACAGTGAAAGTCTTTACCACGACATACAGTATGTGCTTCACGTTCTGATGTATGGGAATGCATTTATGGCGCGTTGATGCCTAGTAAGAGTCTGTGATTAATATAAGAGTTAATCAACTCAGTTCATTATAATATGCTAGCATTGGAAAAGTATTTGCTTACCATTTAAATTATCGCTGAGAACTTTCAAGTATGGATAAACCTTGACTAGGCAACGACTTAAATGTCTCGCAAGAGAGTATCGAAGCAGAACTACCGAAGCGATGCTAAAAGTTTATTCATCTGTATAAATACGGTTCAACTTACTTAGATTCCGTTGTCGAAAGAAAAACCACTCGTTTAGGTCTACGACTGACGCATATTAATATGAGATAATAACGTCAAAGATTATAGACAAATCTACGCGTTGAGAGTGTACATAATCGTAATTTTACTGCGTCGGATGTATGAATATTCTAGTCAGTGGTTGAGTATCGTTTTCCAACATTAATTACATCCCGCTGTTGATGGCAATACTGTGCATACGGGAAATTATGCTTTGAGACATAGAGCAAAAAGTTTGAATCCCTTGGCGTTTCTTGCTTTAAAGAAGATTTTATTTGAATAACTAGTTATTATAAAGTTCGCCTAAAGAACCAAGGATGACCGTTTTCTTTGCGTATTCCCCTCAAATAAAACATATAGACAAAAAGCAAAAAACAACTGAGTGTAAACAGCTTATTAGGTTTGACATTTTTATTGTGACTCTGCTGAGGCTATGTTAGCAGCTTGAGAAAATTTAATTATACAAGACCACTTGATATATTCAGGGCTCTCAACTTTTACATCTTGAAACTAGTACTCGTCGTTAAATAATGGGTATAGCGAGCTATTTTTTGTGTTCTTATTTTAGGATGAAATAATGAGGACTATAATCTAGTCATAGTATTCAACAATTTGAATCTCCTGAAAATGTACTGTAACATCATGTTCTCTTTGTTGGTATGGTTCTTTATATTATGTAATATGTAATAATTAATTTAGTCTAAAAATGTCTTGATACAACATCAATTCAAGGTTAAAGTTCAGTGTGTTTTTGGAATAGTCTCGGGTCTTCGTGATTCTAGACCAGCCTTTAGCCATTACCACAAGCCCATTTTAGCATATAGAGATACGATTGTTTCCAGCAATTATTTGGTGTATAACAGACTTGTTTACAGTTTGTCCAACAGACTGGTCTTTTTCTGTTGATCTTTTCATAGTTGATCCACCAAATGCATATTCATCACCCCCCAGGAAAGCGGTTAGTCCCGGAACGTAATCACTTACGCAGCAAATCAGTGTAGCATGATATTATTGACACTAATTAATAATTAACAATATACTGACTAGTGTAATTAATAATAATTGTATTATGAATATATTCTATAGCTTTACCCGTTTGTAGTTTTGCGGGGGAGCAGTGTTTCCCCAAGTCGCATCTGCTTCAAAAGAGAATCTCAATTGACAAAGTTGGCTGTCGAGCTTCTAAAGACTTGCATAGCTAACATTACTAAAACGGATTGAACAATTTTCGCGTCTCTGTAATTTGCGCCGTTATAGATTGACAATTTTACAGGAATATTTGGTAACAACGTATATAGCATTACAAGCCTTTTTTTTCTGTTTATTTACCTCTATAAGACACTAATTTATAATAAATCTTTGCGAGTTAAGGAAATTTTTTAACTGTTGGGGATAATAGCGGTATGTGACTAAATGCGTAGCTCAATTAAACGTGTAGCTATTTTACCTTTTCTTCTTGTAGATGAGATAACGGAGACGAATATTGTAATGTTTGTCGACAAATTTTTAGTTCTTGATGTGCTAAGAGATATTTGC